GCCCAGCCCAAAAAGTGTCTGAAAATATTGGTGAAGAATGGATTCCCCCCTCAGAGAAAAAACAAGCACAGCCTTTTGGGATCCAGAATGGGAAAGTGTTGAAGAAAAGGAGGAACCTGGTGAGGAACAATGCTAGCTGTCATGCCATAGAAAAGACTTCTCTTCCTGAAAACAAAGTAAAGTGTGGGATCCCAAGGAGTCCCACCAGGTTAATAAGGGTGGAATTATCTCCCAAAAGTCCAACAGAGATTAGATTTGGGAGAAAGCCCATGTGCAAAGACAGTGTTAATTGCAGGCAGGTAGTGAATGGATCTTCTGGCTTCTCTTCCTTTTCAGATGTCAAATCAAGCCTATTTACCACACTTCGCCCCATGGCTAGTGTTCCAAGTTGGTCTCCTGAATTGTTCTCGGATAATAGCCAGGTCCTCATCACAGATGCCATTTTCTCAAAGCCGTCTCTTTGAATGTCAAAATTCCTTGTGCAAAATGTTTTGCAGTCATAATTCCCGGGAATGGGAAAGGGCTGCTTTAATTTAAAAGAGAGAGGTACAAACATGAACTGGTCATTCACCCTCTCAGCACTTTTAAATAATGAATTATTTCTACTTGGATTGAGCATTACATGACTATGTCTTAGCAAATGAAATAAAAAATTATTCCACCTTTGGGGCGATGAATTAACAACCCTGGGTGTGCATAACTGCTCTATGCTCATTCTCACTGCACCATGTACAAGCAAGCTTATGCTAAGCAGAGATTGCTCTGGGGGCCAAACTCCAATCTCTGCTTCCCTTGTAACCTTTGGCCCGAGTCCTATTGGGGCACTATGCCAGTTTAACTGCAATTTGTGCTTTCAACATGCTTGCTAAAGGAGTGGTCTTACAAAAGTAGTTCCCTGGCAGACCAACAATCTGTTGCGCTCCTAGTGAGATGCTCAGGCACAGATCTGTCCCTGCTCCTGGGTTGGTCATTTCTGTCTTCTCCACAATCCCATGTCAGTACATCAGAGACACCATCTCCTTGGCTCATTCTTGGTGATATTCTGGCTTTTATTTTACTCCTAGACGGCATATGATTCTTGTACTTCCATTGTGAAAAGGGAGAAACAGAATCAGATTTGTAAGGGAACTCATAGACCATCAGACCCAAGTCCCTCCATGCAGGTTCTCCAGCTAGAGCAGACCTGCATAACTAAGCAGTAGGTAGGGGCCAAAATGAAAATAGGCTAAACTTCTTCGGGCTACAGATAGGTCTGGGGGGGGGGGTCCTTCAGAGTCCCACATGGCGTGGGGGGAGAGCATGGCAATCCCACCCCCTGCATCAGGCGACACCAACCTGAGGGATGCCACTGTGTCCATCATTCCTGTGTTTTAACAGCCTTCTCATGGATGGAGCACAGAATGGACTGAACCCTACCTTGTGCCAGTTCTCTCTCAATACTGCCTCAATTCTGCACTCCATCTGCAAGGTCCGAGAGGGTGATGGGTTGGGCAGAGAACTGGCAGGGCACCCATTGTAATAATGGCAGCGGTTCTGGCACCATCACCAGCATCCTGCACTGGAGAAGGTTAAGAGATGATATTATAGCCCTGTTTAAATATTTGAAGGGGTGTCATGTTGAGGATGGAGCAAGCTTGCTTTCTGCTGCTCCAGAGAATAGGACCCAGAGCAATGGATGCAAGCTACAGGAAAAGAGATTCCACTTCAACATTAGGAGGAACTTCCTGACAGTAAGAGCTGTTTGACAGTGGAAGGTACTCCCTGGAAAGTGGTGGAGTCTCCTCTTTTGGAGGTTTTTAAACAGAGGATGGATGGCCATCTGTTGGGGGTACTTTGTGAGTTCCTGCATGGCCAAAGGAAGTTGGACCAGATGGCCCTTGTGGTCTCTTCGAACTCTATGATTCTATGATCCTTGAGGGTTGCTCAAAATCCTTTGATGAGCTACATGTTGTGCTGGCCTGAGCTAGAGCATCCCCAGTAGGTAGCTGTCCAGCCAAATTTATCGTTTTGTGCAGAACAGCGTTTTCTCCTCAGAAAATTTTTCTTCCCAGGAAATGCTGTTTCTGGTTCAGAAAAGACTGCTTTTCTACACAAAATAAACATGCAGGTTTTGCACAGAATAAGCCTGGTTTTTGAAGATTTTCTTGCAGTGGGGAGAAAATTGTTAAAATTACTCATTGCTGCCTTCAAAAAGATACTTTAGTGAAGCATCTCTAACCTGAAAGCACTGTGAAGGTGCAGCTCTCAGGGTTTGTCCACACTGCTGAATTAAAGCAGTTTGACACCGCTTTACTGCCATGACTATCCTACAGACTCCTGGGATTTGTAATGTGAGATATTCAGGCTGGTCTGTCAGAGAGCTCTAGTGCCTCACCAAACTACAAATCCCAGGAGTCTGTAGGATAAAGTCGTGGCAAAGTGGTGTCAAACTGCTTTAATTCTGCAGTGTGGTTATACCCTCAGTACAAATGCTACTTGTTGGAGAGGAGCTTTACTCCATCAAAATGTCTGTTTATAGTACCGGAGGTTCCTAGAACACCCCACTGATTTTGTATTACAGTACGCTTCTTTCTGTATATTCTGTATACAAAAGGACGGGGGATAAAGAGGTTGCCTTGGAACTAGTACTATTGATTGTAGCTGCTCTTTTCTATCCATGGGGAGGTTTGTTATGCTTTAGTGTGCAGCTGTGGGAAATGAAAGCAACATCTGGAGTACAGTTGTTGAAAACCCATGCTTGTGGAACAATACATGGCTGATTGAGCGGAGTTAAAAATGGATTTGACTCAAGGCACTGCATGCTTCCATTCTGCCTGATGATGTGAGAGCTTTGAAAGCCACACCATGTAACTATCCAAAGTTTCCTGATAACCTTGGTATGTCTACAGCTGCTCAAGATTGTTTGCAAAGAAGGATGGCATGCAGGTCATTGATGAGCATTGATGCATAATCTGTTAATGAGGAACAAAGGGGCAAAGTGGGGCACCAGTGGTATACATCCTATACAACATATAGCACCGGTTGATGGCCATATAGGAAGCTATAGCGAACCTCCTTGACATGTGGAACGATGCTACCAAGAGTCCCCTCCATGGTTCTTAGCAGGACTTCTAAGGTCCAAAACACATGGCAGAAATAATCCAGTTTGAGACTGCTTGAACAGCCCTGGCTCAGTGCTAGGGAATCCAAGGAATTGTAGTTTATTGCGGCACTCCAGCTGTCTGACAGAGAAGGCTATAAATGTCTCACAAAACTACAGTTCCCAGAATTTGCTAGCACTCAGCCATGTGGAACATTAAAGTGGCCTCAAATTTGATTATTTCTGCAGTATTTTTTTGGACCTCAGTCTCTCCTCCCTGGATTTATCTATCTTTGCTGTTCTCCAACTTGGACCCTCATTAAACAATAGTGTTCTTAGTGTTGTTCTTTCTAATCCAGATCTGCACAACTTGAAAGTAGGTAAGGGCCAAAATTAAAATAGGCTAAAGTTTTTCAGGCCGCAGATAAGTTTTTAGTGGCTCCCTTTCCAAGTAAAGATACAACTAATGATTAAACTATTTTGCAAATAAACCATATTATTAAAAAGGGAAATCCTACACTTCTAAGGTTTTCTTACCGTTTGCAACATTTAGTTAATGGGACATGTTACACTTCTTGTCTGCTATCAGTTTATTATACTCTGGTATCATGTTTGAAATTGATGTTATCTTCCAGGTATTCATTGGTTAGGGTTGATGTGGTTGCATAGAATCTGGACACTTTATCTGTAACCTGGGAATTTTGATCAGAAAGGAGGAAAAAAGATAGTATATGATTTACCAGGGATTTTTTTTAGGGGGGGGGAGAATGATTAAAATGGCACAAATATCATAATAAAAGGAACGATTAATTAAAATGTGCCCACTTCTCCATCACATGGGCACATGTGATATTTCCCTTTAAAGTACGGAGAGTAGGAAATTAGATTACTACAAATGACTTTAAATTGAGGAATTTTTTTAAAATACAAGGCCTCTGACAGCAAAGTTCCTTTTACAAGTTTTTTTTTTTTTTTTAATGCCTGCCTAGTTATTTTTCTCGCTTTTCATCCTCCATTTAGCTGGAAGTTTTTTTAGCAGTATTGGCATTGGAAGGATGGTGAAGGAGATTGGGAGTAAGGCCAGGCTGTGGTGGAGGAGGCTTGGAGGGACCGTTACCCCTTCTTCTTCTTCCAAAGCCTGACCTTCTCCTCGGGAGTAAGGCCGGGCTGTGGATGAGCCTTACCTAAGAGGTTGAGTGGCTGTTAGCTACCAGCTACCATCCATCCGACAGGAAGTTTCCCCATCTCATGGGCCACTGGAAATTGTTTGGTGGGCCGTATGCGGCCCCTGGGGCATATGTTGTGCAGGCTTGTTCTAATCCCTTGTCTGCATGTATTCTCATTTATAGTTTGCATGTGAAACTCACTTGCTTTTGATACTTTATCAAGTTCTTCTCTATCATCCTTTAAGGCTTGTGCTTCACAATATGGGGAAGATCAGCAAGCAGCAGGCCTTTATCTTGAAGCAGACTCAAGGGTTCAGAACTAAGCATAGCTGAAAAGGGGAATTGCATCATGTTAGAGGATTTATATCAAGTCAACAGGGTAGCAGGGAGAGTTAAACACCTCCTTTCCCCATCAGTGATGATCAAATCAAATTGGACACCCATACAACTGCTTTAAAATGAACATAAAAATGCCAGTTGTCATCATCAATTTCATGCAAAATGTAGCTTGGCCCAAAGAAGTGATCCCTGGATCTCATGAAGTAGGTTAGCATCCACAAAAGTCAGCCCGAAATAAAACATGTCAGTATTTAAGGTGCCATATTACCATTGGGTGGTAGGATTTTTGTATATATGTTTTGTTTTGTCTTGTGTGTCCAAGTTGTTTCTGACTTATGGTGACGCTAAGGCAAACTATCATGGGGTTTTCTTGGCAAGATTTGTTCAAAAATGGTTTGATATTGCCTTCCCCTGAGGCTGAGTGTAGTGTAGTGGTTTGAACGTTGGACTACGACTCTGGAGACCAGGGTTCGAGTCCCCGCTTCAGCATAAAAACTACTGAGTGGCTTTGGGCAAATTCCTCTCTCTCAGCCTCAGAAGATGGCAATGGCAAACCCCCTCTGAAGAAACTTGCTAAGAAAACCCTGACAGGTTTGCCATAAGTCAAAAATGACTGAGATACACAACAATAGGTCCCAGGGCTGTGGCTTTGTGCTGCTCTGCTGTATTGTGGATGTTGAGGTGAGGACACTGTGGTGGAAAAGAGTGTGTTTTTTACCAAACTACAACAGATAGAGGTTGGCATCCTGAATGTTTCAGCATAGCACAGCAATTTTACATTCCATGCCTGGTGGAGAGCCGGGGAGGAGGGAATCAGAGAAGTGTGTAGCTATGTCCTCAAAATGATTGTTATCCACTGGAGGTCTCTGCAGATGATGTATCATTTTACATCTGGATACAGGGACAGAGCCAGCTGCTTCTCCAATGCTCTCCATCAGGCACAGAATGGTTATGGGGGGAATATTTTAATGCAAAAGAAATGTCAACCCTCACATTGACAAAAAAAGACAGAGCCAGCCCTGGTGGTGCATGCACATAGCCACGTCAACAAGGTCACGCACATGTCACACTGCCATTTACTATAACTGGACTTGAGGTCCGGTGATATTTGGTATCTGCAAAGGGGTCTGGAACAGAACTTCTGCAGATACAAAGGGCCAACCATATGTATGTGCAAGGTGGACTTGCATCTGCATATGATGCTAGCAGGATCCTACCCATAATACTGGAAAATGGGTTCTTATGTTCTTTCTGTCTGATATAGGAAGGTGTTTTATATCAGGTCAGGTCTACAGATAAGTAAAGCCCAATTCTGGTTGATAGTGACTGGGAAAGAGTAGCTTTATCCTTCTGCCTGCAATCTCTCCTTTACAGTTCGATTTCTGAAATCAAGAAAACCTTGTGCAGAAAAAAAACAAAATCACACTTTTTGAAAATGTCAGCTTTATTCTCAAAAAGGCTAAATCTTTAGCAGCTTTTTTAATGCAAAAGGGACCACCTCTGAGTGATCGACACCAACCCCCAGAAACTTCCCGTGGGAGCCCCCTTGAATTAAAGGGTCAACATGAAAGCTTAGACACATGTGTCCTTACAGAGGTTCTTCCCGACTTTCACTGGGTAATGACTGAAGTGCCCTCTGGCATAGCATTCATTCCTCTCCCAGCATACTGTGCCCACTCGCATCTGCAAATATCGAACTAATTAATACTAAGTACAGAATAACCAGCAAATTAATACTAAAATTACAATCCATTAGGGGTCTATACTGACCCAGATAGTTCACCTTCCCTTTCAGGGTAACCAATTCAACACAGATATTGGAGACAGAGTTGGCTGTGTCTGCTCCTTCAGTTCATTAAAAAAAAAATCCATTAACATCAGATGTGTAAAATCCAATGCATTCTTTGAGCATGGCACTAGAGGTGTCATCGTGATGGACATGAAGACGGGACACATTCCATAATGTTTCCATGGCTGAGGTTTTGGATCAACGGAGTTGCCCAAGCCAACGATTATACATACACACACACACACACACTTGAGCCCAAGAAAGCATGGCAGATAACTTAGATGAGCTACAATCGCAAGAGCCTGCAAGCGACTAGGTTATAGGGAAGCCTTTGGACACGGTGGTTTGAAGTCACTACTCAAAGCCATAGCTTTGCAAGATGATCATAGCCTGGCTAAAGATCCACAATAAATTTGGAATATACGCTGCTTTTTGTTTTTAATTCCTAAGCTTATTTTTAAAAACCCTGTGAATTTGTGCACTTGCTTCACAGTGAAAAATCTCCCCAAATGACTGCCAGTCAAGTGCCATGTGCGGTCCTGTTTCAGTTAAAAGCACAATGCATATTCATCGTCTACCGACCAGTCAACAATGACAGTGCTTTAGGCCTTCAAAGGCTTTCTGAGACAAGTTTTTGGCAAAGAGTATGAAGATAGCCTGCAAGTGGGCCTAGAGCAGTACATATCATCTGTACTGACAGCGGCAATGTGTATGTTAACTCACTCTCCAGATCTTATAGGACTCAGCTTTGTACTATCCCTTTAAAGACAACAAGGTACGCTGTCCAAAATTTCCTGGTACTCACTACTCCAAAGAAGGGCTATTTCTCTTAAAGGACATGAAGAACACTTATTTGATCATTTATGCAACAAGAGCGAATAGGAAAGGGAAGCCCCACTGTGTGGGAAAAGAGTACAAAAATGCTGTTTTTTTACTTACAGATTTTGGAACACTTACTTGACCAGGTCAAGTTTGCAGAAGATTCATACTGCTTCTCTTCAATAAGCTAAAATCACGTCTTTCTAGGATCCAACATTTAAATCCCCACAAAATGCCTCCAGCCTATACGAACTACTCTAAGAGTTGCTTGTATCAACAAGAAAAGTTTGTTTGCTTACAACCAGCACGTATTTGAGAACATTTTCTAGCTTCTGTACAGAACAGAATAAGCAATAATGGACTGCCTCTAAAATTTAGCCTGGGGAATTGTCAGCTGCGACACCCAAAGAACATGGGTTCTGAAGTATTGGCATTGCTATTTTTAACTTCCATGTCAGTGAAAGTGCCTGAACGCGGGAAACATTAATACTTACATTTTTTTAAAAAATGGAGTACACACATACACACCCACGCACGCATACACACTTTGTTGAGTTGTGCCCTAAGAATCAATGCTTTGGGGGCGTAATCTATATACAGGTATTTGTTTAGCTGGCAACTGCCAAATGGCTGATGTGATTTCAATGTCCTTATTTAAAGAACCAAAATATCTTGTGCAAGAGGGATCTTGCATTATTCACCATTTTCAGGAGATGCTTTCCATACTGTGAAGAAACCATCTGATGTCTGCTTGCTGTTGGATACCAAGCCCACCTTCTTGAATCCTAGCCTCCTCCATGTCACGGAATATTTTTTAAAAAGAAAATAAACCAGGTTATATTCTACGCTGACCCCACAAGCAAAGTGGCCAGCTGGCCATGCTTCAAGATGGGGAAGCTGACTACATCCACCAGCCAGACTGGGTCAAGGTGGCAGGAACAGCCTCTGTTATGACAGGCCTTGGCAAGGAGAAACAGTCATAACCCTCGAAGGCTGAATCAGTTATCAGTTGAAATTACAGCAAGTCAAATAGCTGATGCTTTTCCCTTCGCCAGGTAATGGCGATTCGACATTGTTCACAAGTGTGTTCTGTCTTGCCTCACTGATCAGCCGGCAAGCTAAGTCCAGAAAGAGTTTTTCCACATTATCAGATTCTTTCGCTGAGGTCTCCAGATAGTACATGTCTTGGGCTTCGGAAAACTCTTCCGCTCTTTGCTGGGAGACTTCTCGTTTATCTGCTAAATCAATCTTATTCCCTGTGTAAATAAAGCCAGGGTGGGAAGATTAGTTTTTGACTCCAAAAAGTAAAAGCCCCAAACTCAACAGTGATTCTGCATGCTTTGAGACACCCCACAAAAGCCAACCAAACACTAGCCAAGTAGGGTGACATTTGAGATACTCAATAAATGAAGAAAAAAGATTCTCTAGGTGAGTTCACGTGCCCCAGAAAGGAAAGGTGAGCTTTTTAAACTATAAAATTCAGCAGAAAAACTGATCATTCATGGCAGAGGTGGGCAACAGATGGGCTTAAGACCACATGCAGCCCTACAAAACTGGTTTTTATAGACTTTAGCCCCTCCAGACTTCCCTGAGTAACCTATTTGTGGTCCCCCCAATAGTGAACTGAGTCATGTGGAAGCCTCCCGAAATGGGCAGAAGTCCACTTTGGGAATTTTTTTTTCTTTTTGAGATGTTTTTTGAGAGTCCATGTGATCCTAAAAGGGTCTCAGGAGCAAAGAAAATTGGTCCTGGAACCTGCTGCAATTAGCCACCCCTTATTTATGTTCTTAGTATTAAAAATTGCTAAAGATACAGAGACAGTTAAGAGGGGATATGACAGCCCTCTTTAAATATTTGAAGGGATGTCATATTGAGGAGGGCACTAGCTTGTTTTCTGCTGCTCCAGAGAACAGGACTTGGGACAATGGATGCAAGCTACAGGAAAAGAGATTCCACCTCAATATTAGGAGGAACTTCCTGACAGTAAGGGCTGTTCGACAGTGGAACAGTCTCCTTCAGAGAGTGGTGGAGTCTCCTTCTTTGGAGGTCTTTAAACAGAGGCTGGATGGCCATCTGTCAGGGATGGTTTGATTTTGAGTTCCTGCATGGCAGGGGCTTGGACTGGATGGCCCTTGTGGTCTCTTCCAACTCTATGATTCTATGATCCTACAAAGCATAACCCTTTACTTGTTTGAAATGTCTGCATGAAACCACTAGAGGTGGGAATCCTATACCTCTGCAAATGATGGACTGCAAGTGCCAGCAGCCCTAGCCAGCATAGCTAATAGTAAGGAATTCTGGCAGTCACCACATATTTTTCCAACTCATGAGGCAGGAAGTAGAAGAAGAGAGATTCTGATGGCAAATTTGTCTGGTTAACCCTCTCCCCAAATGGACTCGTCTGAACCCCTAAAGAGTTTTGGACAGGGTGACCAGATGTCCTAACTGCAAAGGAGGACAAGGCACCATAAAATGTAGAATATTACAAAATAAAAGTTCTAAGCACTAATACATATAAATCCATGCTTCTTAATCATGCTCGAAATAATGGAGGGCATTTTAGAATTCCTCCTGGACAAAAGGTTTGAAATGTAGGACATGTTCTGGAAAAGGAGGACATCTGGTCACCCTCTTTCTGGATCATCCTCCCACCCACAAAAAACCCAGTGTTAAGTTACTGCATTATGAAAGCAAACATATTGAAGTTTAGTTCCATTATTGTGGCTTTGCTTGAAGAACAGGCCAGCTGCCAAAAGAGTCACGCTTCTAAAAGAGAAGGAAGGTTCTGTTTTTAAAAGGAGTCTTTCAAATATTTTTCTTTCTGGGTCAGGATGGATGTTTCCTCCCTCACCCACAATTGCTAGAGAAATATGGGCCACAA